TGAATAATTGTTTTCAGGCTGTCCATCCAGTAGTGCTGAATTTCGGCCTCAGCTGGCTCCTTTACATATAGATTTTACTTTGTACTTCCTCATTTTTGCCATTTGTTTGCCATGTGTAGTTGATAATAATAGCCTATGCCTTTATTCCAATATATTAGATTTATCCATTGAGTTATCATTGTTCGATTTTGTCAGTCAGCTGTTAAGAGCGCTCATTGCTTTGTTTTTCAGGTGCGCGCGGGTACTGGTGTTCTCAGTGCCATCCATTGCCAGAAGTAGTAAACCATTTATTTTGCTTTATTCTTTTCTATCAATATTTGTTTTCTTTACTAGATCACCTGATGATAGTCGACAATATCACTAGACAACTAGCCTACAGCTAGACAACGATGCGCATCCAATCCATTCAGCAAGTAGGCTATATTTTTAATGACAGTAGGCCTATAGTTGACTCTTTTGGTTAGAAGCATTCGATTTTGCAATGGCATAGGCCTACATTATTTTGGATTTGTGTGCCCATGAGAACTGTTTTCACAGCGAAACATAATAAAATGTTACTTAGGCATAGTTACACTTACAGATCTCCAAGATCTCATGAACTAGGGTGTAAAACATGTTTTGATTCAACTCATGTATTAGGCCTTTGAATGTATGCTACCTATTCTGCATGTCTTCATGTGTTTAAAATTGCTTTGGCTGAGAGTGTAGGCTGCCAGCAGTGATGTAGGCCTACTGAAGGGTAAACGCAAGTAAACGCCCTTTACCCACCTTTAAAAAAAGGCATTGAAGGCATAGGGAGCGTTACACAGGGAGAGTTTACCCACCAATTATTTTAACACTAACATCACTGGCTACCGGTAGGCCTATTTGAAGTACATGGTAATACACATTATAGCCTGGTCTAGAAAACCATGTGTGTTAGGGTGACCATCCCCTTTTTTCCAGGACAGTTTCAGCCCCATTTCAGGTTTCGCGCCTTTTCAGGCTACAAAAAAATTAGCAAGAAAACAGCAAGACGCATCAATTAATGTAGGCCTAATAAATGGCAATCGCTGAATGTCATTAGGCACACTTTTTGGTGTTTTGTAACAGAGGTCTATTTCCATTCATCAAATGGCGTTAGTATACATGCAGTTTGGATGCTGGAATTATTTTGGAGTGGACGATCAGATGAAAATACCTCATCACCTCCAAGCGTTTATTCAAGTTCATTGGAAGAAGACATATCTTGGACTGTATCCTACAAAAGCCTAGTCCTGCTCTTTTACCGCGATCCATCAAACACATTTGGTGTGTCATCATAGAGCCAGGCTCTTTTACGCCCTCCTCCGAATGGTAGCTATAAATGCAGAGGGCGTACACAGTGCAACAATATGATGAAGTGTGAATATTTCTGCCACCCACATACAGGAAAACGGTTCCAAATAAATGACATTATTACATGCTCCACCACCCATGTTATCTACATGATTAAATGTCCATGTGGGCTTTGTTATGTAGGTTAAACCTCTCATTCTCTCAAACAGAGAATTAATTAACATAAAAGTTCAATCAGGAGAAACTACAGGGATTATCCAGTCACAGTATATTTTAATGACCAAAAACATGACATTTCTACATTTAGATTTTGTGGCATAGAGAAAGTCAAGATATCAGACAGGGGAGGTGATATAAATAATACTCTGAGCAAAATATAATGTTTTTGGATTTTCACCCTCCAGACATTATTCCCAAAAGGTCTTAATGATGAAATGCCCATGCATGTTATGTTGTATATGTGAACGTGAATTAATGCTACCACTTCACTTCAGATTACTCAGGCGTTTTTTTTTGCGCTGTGCCCAATGATTTATCAAAGATTACTCGGTAGATAGATGTCCTCATTGCAGTTTTACGGTAGATGTCCTCATTGTGGTTTTACAGACTTGTTTAATGCGTTTTATGTACACTTTATTAGAATACTTATGAAATGCACATTATTATTATATTTGCTTACTTTCCCTCGACTCCAACCCCATTCGATGCATTGAACGGATGTGGGTGGAGCAATGTCTCCATAAGGGTGCAAATTATAAAAACTCACAAAAGCTCTGACGAAGGCCTGGTGGCTGATACCTAAAGCTTATTAAAGAACAGTGATACTAGCAAGAGCAGTGTGCAGGTTTCTTATTTTTTCTCATTTTATTCAACTGTTACCATGCACCTGCAACAAAGATAGCTCAGATGTGCGAATGCCTTTTGAATTTTGAATCATTGTGGTCAGACTTGATCAGGCAGAACAAATTTGCTGATTTGAGTGTCTCATATCTGTAATCTGATTACTATTTTTGCTGGTAACCTAATGGATACCATTTTTTGGTAATCAGTTACTTGTAATAGATTATATGTAATTCGTTACTTAAAAATAATTACATTACTCCGTAACCCTGCATGCACTTTCAATCGGCAGCTAGTACATGGCTCCATGTTGATGATGTGTGGTAAAAAAAAATCTGTGACCGTGAAAATAATGCTGCATAGTGATTGGCTTGAATCTACAACGACTGGACCGATCATATCTCTGCCTAGTGAATATAAATAGATCCTTAAAGTCTTTGCTGTAATTTTACCCTGTGCCACTGTTTTATAAATCCAGAGGCGCAACATCCGTGAGACTTCGGGGGAATGCTTGCGAAACAGACCAAGTCAATTAGTTGATAATTTTGGCGTTGCACTAGCCACGTGCGACATGCAGGTGCAGTTACAAGCCTGTAGTACAGGTGAAGCCTGAGCTGTAATCTGAAGCTGCTTAGTTTTAGAAAACCCTGAGTAGATCTGGCTTGCTTCATAGGATACCCCTCTGGAGGCAGGCAGGTTCCAAAACAAATGCAATCAACTTTCACCCGGCGTAAAACATGCCTACCGGTGCACCTTCATTGCTACATTTTGAGGACCTCTTCCACTTTACATTTGACATTTTAGTCATTTAGCAGACGCTCTTATCCAGAGCGACTTACAGTTAGTGAGTGCATACATTTTCACACTTGATATCTATATACATATATTATATATTACTAAATAGGTGTCTGACTAAATAGTTGTTCATAGAGGATGTCTGTACAAAGCACATTTATATTCTGGATTCTCACACATGCTCACTCTAATAAATCTACACTGAACGAAAATAAATGTATAAATGCAACATGTAAAGTGTGGTCGCATGTTTCATGAGCTGAAATAAAAGATCACAGAAATTTCCATACACACAAAAAGCGTATTTCTCTCAAATGTTGTGCACAGATTTGTTTACATCCCTGTTAATGAGCATTGTATCCTCTGTCAAGATAATCCATCCACCTGACAGGTATGTTATATCAAGAAGCTGATTAAACAGCATGATAATTACACAGGTGCACCTTGTGCTGGAGACAAAAGGCCACTCAAAAATGTGCAGTTTTGTCACACAACACAATGCCACAGATGTCTCAAGTTTTGAGGAAGTGTGCAATTGGCATGCTGACTGCAGGAATGTCCACCAGAACTGTTGCCAGATAATTTAATGTTAATTTCTCTACCATAAGCCACCTCCAAAGTTGTTGTAGAGAATTTGGCAGTACGTCCAACCGGCCTCATAACCGCAGACCACATGTATGGCGTTGTGTGGGCGAGCGGTTTGCTGATGTCAACGTTGTGAACAGAGTGCCCATGGTGGAGGTGGGGTTATGGTATGGGCAGGCATAAGCTACAGACAACGAACACAATTGCATTTTATCTATGGCAATTTGAATGCACAGAGATACCGTGACGAGATCCTGAGGACCATTGTCGTGCCATTCATCCGCCGCCATCACCTCATGTTTCAGCATGATAATGCACGGCCCGATGTCGCAAGGATCCGTACACAATTCCTGGAAGCTGAAAATGGCCCAGTTCCTTCATTACCTGTACTCACCAGACATGTCACCCATTGAGCATGTTTGGGATGCTCTGGATCGACAGCGTGTTCCAGTTCCCGCCAATTTCCAGCAACTTCGCACAGCCATTGAAGAGGAGTGGGACAACATTCCACAGGCCACAATAAACAGCCTGATCAACTCTATGCGAAGGAGATGTGTTGCGCTGCATAAGGTAAATGGTGATCACACCAGATACTGACTGGTTTTCTTATCCACGCCCCTACCTTTAAAAAAAAACAAGTATCTGTGACCAACAGATGCATATCTGTATTCCCAGTCATGTGGAATCCATAGATTAGGGACTAATGAATTTATTTTAATTGACTGATTTCCTTATATGAACTGTAACTCAGTAAAATCTATGAAATTGTTGCATGTTGCGTTTATATATTTGTTCAGTATACTTTGGATTGTTATTTCTTGTTTAGATTTTTTGTTTGTGTATTTGTATTTGCGAGACATTCTACTGCACTGTTGGAGCTAGTAACATAAGCATTTCGCTGCACCTGCTGTAAATCTATGTACGCGACCAATAAACGTTGCTTTGTTTAAGCTGGCCCTGGTGCCCGGGTGGTCAGCGTATGCAACAGGTGAAAACTGATTGGTTTTAAAAACCAACCTGCCTGCCTCCCAGGCGTGAACCCCGTTAAAGCCGATGGAGAAGTTTGCTCAAAACAAAGTGACGCATGTCAAGCACGTGGAGTAATGACTTAAGATTCCATGTTTTCGCATTCAAAAGTGTTTGCTCATGATAAAAACGCATATAGGCTTTATCTGCCTTCCAAAGGAAAACTACTTTGAAAATTCAAACATATACTTTTTGGAAAAGACGTGTGTTTCTGAACGAAGCACCATGCTGCCTTGTTGACAATATGACCAGGGCAGCACAGATTACTATTCGATTTCAGAAGGGTGCTTCTCCCTCACTGCCTTTGCCCGGTCACAGGCCATATCCCGGTGCACCCCGGTTCATCTTAATCAAACTCCCTCAGTGATATAGATCACATACTGCAACATTGATTCTGTTAGAAATAAATACATTTATGCTGGTTTAGAAAATTAAAGCTTTAATACAAGTATTTCAGCAATCCAGGTTTCAATATAAACATACAATCATTGACTAAGTACTGGCATAATGTGTTTCCCATGTTACAGTAATAGAGAGGTGGAGAGAGCTACAGTGGCTTGCGAAAGAATTCACCCCCTTGGCATTTTTCCTATTTTGTTGCCTTACAACCTGGAATTAAAATGGATTTTTTAGGGGTTTGTATCATTTGATTTACACAACATGCCTACCACTTTGAAGATGCAAAATATTTTTTCTTGTGAAACAAACAAGAAATAAGACAAAAAAACAGAGAACTTGAGCGTGCATAACTATTCACCCCCCAAAGTCAATACTTTGTAGAGCCACCTTTTGCAGCAATCACAGCTGCAAGTCTCTTGGGGTATGTCTCCATAAGCTTGACATATCTAGCCACTGGGATTTTTGCCCATTCTTCAAGGCAAAACTGCTCCAGCTCCTTCAAGTTGGATGGGTTCCGCTGGTGTACAGCAATCTTTAAGTCATAACACAGATTATCAATTGGATTGAGGTCTGGGCTTTGACTAGGCCATTCCAAGACATTTAAATGTTTCCCCTTAAACAACTTGAGTGTTGCATTAGCAGTATGCTTAGGGTCATTGTCCTGCTGGAAGGTGAACCTCCGTCCCAGTCTCAAATCTCTGGAACACTGAAACAGGTTTCCCTAAAGAATTTCCCTGTATTTAGCGCAATCCATCTTTCCTTCAATTCTGACCAGTTTCCCAGTCCCTGCCGATGAAAAACATCCCCACTGTGGGGATGGTGTTCTCGGGGTGATGAGAGGTGTTGGGTTTGCGCCAGACATAGCATTTTCCTTGATGGCTAAAAAGCTCAATTTTAGTCTCATCTGACCAGAGTACCTTCTTCCATATGTTTGGGGAGTCTTCCACATGCCTTTTGGCGAACACCAAACGTGTTTGCTTATTTTTTTAAGCAATGGCTTTTTTCTTGCCACTCTTCCGTAAAGCCCAGCTCTGTGGAGTGTACGGTTTAAAGTGGTCCTATGGACAGATACTCCAATCGCAGCTGTGGAGCTTTGCAGGTCCTTCAGGGTTATCTTTGGTCTCTGTTGTCTCTCTGATTAATGCCCTCCTTGCCTGGTCCGTGAGTTTTGATGGGCGGCCCTCTCTTGGCAGGTTTGTTGTGGTGCCATATTCTTTCCATTTTTTAATAATGGATTTAATGCTGCTCCGTGGGATGTTCAAAGTTTCTGATATTTTTTTATAACCCAACCCTGATCTGTACTTCTCCACAACTTTGTCCCTGATCTGTTTGGAGAGCTCCTTGGTCTTCATGGTGCCGCTTGCTTGGTGGTGCCCCTTGCTTAGTGGTGTTGCAGACTCTGGGGCCTTTCAGAACAGGTGTATATATACTGAGATCATGTGACAGATCAGGTGACACTTAAAGAAAGTCCACCTGTGTGCAATCTAACTAATTATGTGACTTCTGAAGGTAATTGGTTGCACCAGATCTTATTTAGGGGCTTCATGGCAAAGGGGGTGAATACATATGCACGCACCACTTTTCCATTATTTATGTGGTCCTCTGTAGCTCAGCTGGTAGAGCACGGCGCTTGTAACGCCAAGGTAGTGGGTTCGATCCCCGGGACCACCCATACACAAAAATGTATGCACGCACGACTGTAAGTCGCTTTGGATAAAAGCGTCTGCTAAATGGCATATTATTATATTATTATTTTTTTGAAACAAGTTATTTTTTTCATTTCACTTTACCAATTTGGACTATTTTGTGTATGTCCATTACATGAATTCCAAATAAAAATCCATTTAAATTACAGGTTGTAATGAAACAAAATAGGAAAAATGCCAAGGGGTATGAATACTTTTGCAAGGCACTGTATAAGAGGTCTACTCATGATATAAATCAACTGGGCTATCCAATGCCAGATGAGTAGGTCAAGCAATGGGATGGCCTTATCTAAAGACCTGAATTAAGACTAATTTCTACATTGTAGGTTTTTCAATATCAATGCTTCTCTGTCGTTTGAATTGATTTCCACTTTAACAAAACTGCAATCATCACATATGTGCTTAACAACAAAACATATAAATTGATTGGGTTTATCAGTAGGCAACAGCTGCAACACAAAAACTAAACTAAAATACTAAACCAAAATGATGTAACGTCCCTGAACGCTCTCCGGTGTCCTCTACAGGTCTTCCTCTGGGTGTTTGGGGTTCCATGGCCCAGACCTGAGTGGCGTCTAAACATCACAACGTTTCACAACGTTACTAAGACTGTTCTGCTCCGAGCCACCCCATTGGGGAAATGTTCAGCAAAGTCTGAATCCTGCTGAGCATTGTTTTTTCAACCATTAAACATCTTCAGATCTGTACTGTGGTGTTGAGGCCGCTGGATATGGTCTCGTAACCGACGGAGACAAGTGTGAGAACACTGCTCTCCACGTCCTCCGGCTGACGATGCTCTTGATCCTGCTGCTGGGTTGTATCCATGGCAATACCAACCGGGGTTCCGGACTCCTGCAGCTGCGCCTTCTTCCTGCCTCGGCCCCTCCCTTTGCCCTTCCCCGATTCTTTCCCTTGACCTTTAACTCCGCCCACCGACCTGTGCGGTTTGTCGTTGCCGTCATCTCGGGGCTTGCGGTGGCGGCGGCGGATGCGTCTCATTGGAGGGCCGGTGTCAACAGGATCAGTTGCAGCGGCGCCGGACAGGATGCGAATCTGTTTGTCAATCACCATGGTGATCATGTCGAGGGCGGTGTCGAGCATCCCGAGGCCCAGGCCGTGAGTCACGTTGTCGAACAACGCACTGTTGACCGGGTCATGGAAACACTTCCTCATCGCCTCCAGATGGCTTCTATCCCAGGTGGGGTGGTGTGGGCAAAGGTGTGTTAGTGTTTGTCTCACTGTACAGAAAACGTATAGATCACTGTGCTGTAAATACACTAACCAGGTGAGGGTGTGGTGTGGGTGAGGGTTTGGTCTTACCTGGTTTCTATGATCTTTGACCAGTGTTGAACTGTGTTAGTCTCTGGTATAAGCTGCTTGGCCATGTTTCCAAAGTCCATGTAGTCATGGGCAAAATCCTTCATGTCGTTACACAGGGCTTTGGTGTCACCTGGAAAACACAACATTTTAACAATCTATAAACCGTGAGAGATGCCCGCACACAAACACACACACTTACCCTCCGTGAGCTTGGAGAAGGAGGAGGATACAGCAGTAGTAGTACTAGGAGTGAGGCCCAGTATATTGAGAGACTCCTGAAGGGTTTTCTTGCTGGCTGGGCCGCGGCTGACCCTGGTGTAGGCTGCTAGCGAACGCAGAGACATCTTCTCTGGAGCCTCCAGACGACGTTTGATCTCGTCATAGGGTATCAGGTACTTACCTAGGACCAAAAGAACAATAGATGAATGAAACAATTGTGTTGAATCTTCCGCTTATTCCATACTACAGCAGGTAAGGCCAACCTTCCTCCTGGAGAACCACTGGGGGTGCAGCTAATCATGGTCCCGAGGAGTAGCTAATAGGTAGAATCAGTTGTGTTAGAGTAGTGGGCAGGAATATCCCGCAAGATGAGGTCTCCAGTAGGAGGGGAAGCCCTGGCCTAATCCCATCCTTCTCTGCCTGTGGTACTTACGGGCTTTGGAGCTCTTCATGTTGGGGTCTAGGAGAGACGACACCTCAGCAAACGGAACATGGGGTATGTGGTTGTGGTTTGGAGCACCAGCCTGAGTCTGGGTGGTGTCCCCTGCCGGGATCTGAATCTGGGCTTGCATCTGGTTCACGTCCCCCATTCCCTGCTGCCCCTGTCCCTGTCCATCCCCCAGCACCATGGAGGGGTGGTCGGATAACCCTGGTAACCCTGTCAGCCCCTCGACCATTGTCTGCTGCAACCCCCCCTGTCCCACAGAGTTGGTCTGTTCTGAGGAGACTTGAAAGATGCCCATGACAGGTTTAACCACTCTAAACACCATGTTGCCTTGGGAGTCCACCCCCGCCAGGCTGGGATTTGGTTCCATCTGCTCTGATATCACTTCCTCTTTACTTCCTGGGTGACTGTTTTGGAGTGTGAAGAGTTTCTCCTGAACTTTTCTGTATTTGTCTCAGCGTCGGGAGTAGGATGAGTTTGTGCTTACACACTGCTAAGGTCAGTTTAGGGTAAAGTCTATAGGACAGAGAAAAAAACAGACATCAAACACTGTGGTCTACAGAGTAACCGTCATCATCATCAATATTGCAATAAAAACATTGAAATCAACATCTGTGATTCCCCAATTAGAAATAATTGCCACCAGTAGTAGTAAAATATATTTATCATCTTTCCCACCCTCTCCAATTCAACAATTTAAAATGACTTCTACTTCAGATTGTATTCTGGTAAATAATAAATGGGTAGGCCTATTACATGGGTAAGGCATATATACTGAGTCTACAAAACATTAGGAACAGCTTCCTAATATTGAGTTGCACCCCTTTTTGCCCTCAGAACAGCCTCAACTCGTCGGTGCCTGGACTACAAGGTGTCAAACGTTCCACAGGGATGCTGGCCCATGTTGACTCCAATGCTTCCCACAGTTGTGTCAAGTTGGCAGGATGTCCTTTGGGTGGTGGACCATTCTTGATACACACGGGAAACTGTTGAGTGTGAAAAACCCAGCAGTGGTACAGTTCTTGACACAGTCAAACCGGTGCGCCTGGCACCTACCTCCATACCCCGTTCAAAGGCACTTAAACGTTTGTCTTGCCCATTTACCCTCTGAATGGCACACATACACAATTTCTCAATTGTCTCAAGGCTTAAAAATCCTTCTTTAACCTGTCTCCTCCCCTTCATCTACACTGATTGAAGTGGATTTAACAGGTGACATCAATAGGGATCATAGCTTTCACCTGGATCCCCCTGGCCAGTCTTTCGTAGAAAAAGCAGGTGTTCCTAATATTTTGTACACTCAGTGGCCCCTGGACTTTTTCCACATTTTGTTGTGTTATAGCCTGAATTTAAAATGGATTACATTTAGTAGTTTTTTGGGGCCTACACACAATACCCCATAATCTCAAAGTGGAATTATGTTTCACATTTTTACAAATTAATTAAAAATGAAAAGCTGAAAGGTCCTCAAATCAAATGTTATTGGTCACATACACATATTCTGTAGATGTTATTGCGGGTGTAGCGAAATGCTTATGTTCCTACCTCCAACAGTGCAGTAATATCTAACAATACACACAAATCTAAAAAGTAAAATATATAGAAATATTCGGACGAGCAATGTCAGAGTCCGGAGTATAAATAAATAAACAAAGGCCTCCCGAGTGGCGCAGTGGTCTAAGGTACTGCATCGCAGTGCTAGCTGTGCCACTACAGATCCTGGTTCGATTCCAGGCCCACCCCCAAAAAAATAAAAATAATAATATATATATATATATATATATGATGGGATGTATGGATAGAATATGTAGTATATCTGAAGAATAGTTTATGTACACCAATAGTTAAATAGAGTCAATAAGTATTAAACCCCTTTGTTATGGCAAGCCTAATTAAGTTCAGGAGTAAAAATGTGCTTGCATGTGCTATAATAGTGTTTAACATGGTTTTGAATGACTACCTCATCTCTGTACCCAACACACACTGTAAGGTCCCTCAATCGAGCAGTGAATTTCAAACACAGATTCAACCACAAAGCGCAGGGAGGTTTTCCAATGCCTCGCAAAGAAGGGCACCTATTGGTAGATGGGTACAAAAAAAAGCAGACATTGAATATCCTTTCGAGCATGGTGAAGTTATTATTTACAAATTGGATGGTGTATCAATACACCCAGTCACTACAAAGATACAGGCGTCCTTCATAACTCAGTTGCCGGAGAGAAAGGAAACCGGTCAGGGATTTCACCATGATGCCAATGATGAATTTAAAACAGTTACAGAGTTTAATGGCGGTGATAGAAGAAAACAGGATGAATCAACAACATCGTAGTAACTCCACAATACTAACCTATGTGAAAAGAAGGAAGTCTGTACAGAATAAAGATATTCCAAAACATGCATCCTGTTTAAAACAAGGCACTAAAGTAATACTGCAAAAAATGTGACAAAGCAATTCACTTTTTGTCCTGAATACAAAGTGTTATGTTTGGGGCAAATCCAATACAACACATTACTGAGTACCACTCTCCATATTTTCAAGCATAGTTGTGGCTGCATCGTGTTATGAGTATGCTTGTAATCGTTAAGGACTGGGGAGTTTTTCAGGATAAAAAAGGAACAGAATGGAGCTAAGTACAAGCAAAATCCTAGAGGTAAACCTGGTTCAGTCTGCTTTCCACCAGACACTGGGAGATGAATTCACCTTTCAGCAGGACAATAACCTAAAACACAAGGCAAAATCTACACCAGAGTTGCTTACCAAAAAGACAGTGAATGTTCCAGAGTTGGCGAGTTACAGTTTTGACTTAAAATCTGCTTGAAAATATATGGCAAGTCCTGAAAATGGTTGTTTAGCAATGATCAAGAACCAACTTGACAGAGCTTGAAGAACTTTGAAAAGAATAATGGGCAAAATGTTTCACAATCCAGGCAAGCTCTTAGAGACTTACCCAGAAAGACTCAGAGCTGTAATCGCTGCCAAATGTGATTCTAACATGTATTGACTCATTTTTACAAAATGTTAGAATTTTTCTTCCACTTTGACATTAGAGTATTTTGTGTATTGTTGACATAAATGACAATTCAATCCCACTATAACACAACAAAATGTGGAAAAAGTCAAGGGGTATGAATACTTTAAGGCACTGTACGGTATGGTCTCATGATAATAACTTTTGTGTCATTATGCAAATGCCTAAGTTTTTGACGTCACATTGTTATCTCTAGCTTTTGGTCACCCTCGCGCTTGGCTGCTAACCTAGCCAGACTTTGCTAGCAAGGACACCCACTTCCTATGTAAATCCGACACGGGTAACGTAGCCACATTCATTTAAAAGCATGTATCTTGCTAGCTACTCAAGATGATATATTGGGCCCGAAGTATTACAAGTCCACACTATAACCGCTACCATTGCAATTATACACGAAGCCCACTCGCAATTCTGTTTTGTGAAAAGTAAACCGTTAATATTGCCCGTGTCTTTGTCTAAAACCTAAACATGGCTGGCTAGGCCGCAATGGGGGCACGTTGCGCCTGTGGAAAGGCTTAATCGACGTGTTCTAAAATAGAATACAATACATTCTGAACAGGTTGAATAAAATGTTGCCGCTAACCTTCATTGTAGTGCAAGTAGTGAGGGTTTTCCGACTCACCACTTTCCTCTTTGCTGTCTCCTAACAGCAAGCTGATCCTAGAACGGTGCGTGGTGAGACAGGAGACATTTTCCTTCTTCTCCAGATCTGCTTCGGCGGGTTGCAAATCAGCTCTACATCTACTGCCGCTAAAGCAGATTTATCCCTGCGCCTATTGGCAACATTACCCATCAATCAAGTATCGATGACACCTTCTCATTGGATGTTGCTGAGTGTCAGTCCAATCGAAGGGGTGGAATTTCCGGTTGAAAGAGGTCTTGAACAACAATGGGATATTTTGAATCAGTATAATATTACCCCAGACAATACATTGTTTCTTCATATGTGAAAAGATAGTGGAGTGTATATGTAATGTTTTTGCACACACTTTGTTCTATGACTTGGACAAACAACTCAAATGTGTTATGTGAAAGATGTATATTATTTAAAAAACATCATGTACAGGATATATACAGTATGTAAAAAAAAAAAATATATATATATATATATATATATATACAAAGTTTCACAAAGAAACATGGTGAACATTTCCAAACCAGAGTCATGGTTTCTCTGTCATTATGGCACATCGAAAAGAACAAGACAGATACATGACAAAATACCTTAAGGAAAACAAAGGCAAGGGGATAGAATGGACAATTGTCAAAGTGAAACATTCTCCATCCTCCAGCCTCTATGTGTCATTTCAGAACATTACAACAGAACAAGGCACAGGTACACTACCGTTCAAAAGTTTGGGGTCACTTAGAAATGTCCTTGTTTTCCATGAAAACATACATGAAATGAGTTTGAATAGGAAATATAGCAAAATGCATAGGAAATGTAGTCATTGACAAGGTTAGAAATAATGATTTTTAATATAAATTATAATTGTCAAATCAAATCAAATCAAATTTTATTGGTCACATGCGCCGAATACAACAGGTGCAGACATTACAGTGAAATGCTTACTTACAGCCCTTAACCAACAGTGCATTTATAACAAAAAAATAAAACAACAACAAAAAAAGTGTTGAGAAAAAAAGAGCAGAAGTAAAATAAAATAACAGTAGGGAGGCTATATATACAGGGGGGTACCGGTGCAGAGTCAATGTGCGGGGGCACCGGCTAGTTGAGGTAGTTGAAGTAATATGTACATGTGGGTAGAGTTAAAGTGACTATGCATAAATAATTAACAGAGTAGCAGCAGCGTAAAAAGGATGGGGTGGGGGGGCAGTGCAAATAGTCCGGGTAGCCATGATTAGCTGTTCGGGAGTCTTATGGCTTGGGGGTAGAAGCTGTTGAGAAGTCTTTTGGACCTAGACTTGGCACTCCGGTACCGCTTGCCGTGCGGTAGCAGAGAGAACAGTCTATGACTAGGGTGGCTGGAGTCTTTGACAATTTTGAGGGCCTTCCTCTGACACCGCCTGGTATAGAGGTCCTGGATGGCAGGAAGCTTGGCCCCAGTGATGTACTGGGCCGTACGCACTACCCTCTGTAGTGCCTTGCGGTCGGAGGCCAAGCAGTTGCCATACCAGGCGGTGATGCAACCAGTCAGGATGCTTTCGATGGTGCAGCTGTATAATTTTTTGAGGATCTGAGGACCCATGCCAAATCTTTTCAGTCTCCTGAGGGGGAATAGGCTTTGTCGTGCCCTCTTCACGACTGTCTTGGTGTGTTTGGACCATGATAGTTCGTTGGTGATGTGGACACCAAGGAACTTGAAGCTCTCAACCTGTTCCACTACAGCCCCGTCGATGAGAATGGGGGCGTGCTCAGTCCTCTTTTTTTTCCTGTAGTCCGCAATCATCTCCTTTGTCTTGGTCACGTTGAGGGAGAGGTTGTTGTCCTGGCACCACATGGCCAGGTCTCTGACC